TACTTATTTTTTAGCTGCCTCTTCTTTTCTTGTACCTTTTCTGGATGCTCTTCTTTTTTACTTAGTCCTACCAGAGTGGTTCAGACAGCTGTTTTTGCGTAAAGTTGATTTTTGTTTCTTGCCAAATTTGTGTTTGAGTGATCAGTGAGAAGAGTTGCTTATTTTTTTTGATAATATATTTTTAAAAAAATATCTTTATTATATTTTTATTATATATTTAAAGTAGTTTTTTAAATTTTTACTTTTATTTAAATAAATTTTATTATATTAATATATTATAAATATATTATTAAAATATTTTTTTATAAAAATATTTTTATTATATCTTAAAAATATTATTTTTTTATTATAAATATATATATAAATTTTTTTAAGTTTCTGTTAAGTAAGTTTCATATATCACATGTGTTATGTAGTACTAGCACTATTAGCTAGCATTATTGACCTTTAGTATCACCGTCAAATTTTCACTTTCCCATGATGATCATCTAATAGTGAGTCTCGTTTTAATGTAACATTACAAGATCAGGAAGATTAAAACAAAACATTTATTTTTTAAAAATCGCTTATTTCTCAAAAACTTGCATAAGAATCCACCTTTTGCAATCTAACAAAAAAAATTCCTTGAGTGATTTTACTATTACTTTACTAAAACTTAGTCCTAACTTAAACGAATTTAAAGATTTTTAAACACTATCACGTAAAAGTGAAATTTTTGATGATGATACTGGGTAAGATCATATGATCCAACTAATCACATGAAATTATATGATCGAGTGGTCATGTTTCTTACAAATTACATGAAAACCACTTTACTGAAACTTGATTTTTTTTAATAATAATTGAATTCAATAATATCAATATCTGTTAATTTAATAACTATAACTAGTTATTATCAATAAATTTATTCTATTTGCTTCTGCATTAAATAGAACTGAAGATGGAACTAATTTATTTGTAATGAATAATTCGAATTTTAATTAATTGTATAAGTTATCCGATTATTAGTTCATACTATTTATGATTATGTTATATGCAGTGCTCATATATATATATATAAATTTCCAACCTTCATGAAATAAGATATGTGGCACAAAGTGCCACCTGTCATGCTAATACGTATAAATGACTAAACTACTTGGATAACTTTCATTCTGTTCATGGTTATTGTAAAAGTGAAATTCACTTTAATAAAAACAACTTTGAAAAGCTAATTAAAGTGTTTCGTATTGATAATATCTAGGTAATGTTCATATAGAATTCACCAGAATTCTAATCTAATCACTATATCTAATTATTCAGAAATAAAATAAGAGAATGGCTGAATCTACATTCCAAACTTGAGTCAAATTGTCTTTTAATTATTTTATTGTCATATCTGTACTACTAGTAACTCCACTCACGTCTGTCTCTAGAAGCTTTTTTTGACCTAAATTCTATAGTCATATCTTTTGAATCTTTAAGCACTTTGACTATAAATTATAGGAATAAGTCTCTACTCTCACAGACTAACTCTATTATGCGTTCAACTCTATTACACATGATTCTTAAATACTGTATTGATAAATTAATTATTGAATAGAAGTTAGAATATTAATACAAATACAAGAATGATCACATTACTAAACATATAATATATATATAAATACTAACAATGTCACATTTTTTTATCTGTTATAAGGGTCAGGTTTGTTTACACAAATTGCATAAATTGCATTCTTGATATTTTTATAAAATAATAACCTAACTGCATCAAAAACACTCTAACTAACCTGGCTTTAACATCCCTCCTATTATTGTAATATCATGTAATTAGTATATACTATATATTTGGTATTAAAGAAAAAATGATACCTTAGGAATTTAAGTTTATAATTTATCACACTTGATTTTTAAAAATTTTTAATAAATTCCAGTATTTCATTTTCTCCTGGCAACATTCATCGTTATTAGTCACATGTTAGATTAAATATATACAGTATGATGTAATATCAGAATATTTTTTAAATATTAAGCATATAATTATGCATAAGGTTGATGTAATCAAATAGTGGATTATTTTTTTCTGCAAACTTGACATTTATTTTGATTATATTTATGCTTCTTTAAATAAGGATGAATTATTGTTTGAAGAAGACTAGTTTTTTATATTGCTCATCATTATTCAAACTCAAAATAATAAGGTTATGCATCATGCATTAAATTTTAAAAGGCACTAATTAACTTATAAATAGCTGTTCGTATTGTTATTGTATTCATTTATTCTTTTTAATTTGTAATTAACAACTGTAACAATACAATCATAAATTATATGTGCAAAGAGTTATTTTCAATGCCTAAGAAAGCTGTTTCAAAACAAAATTCACGTACATCCAAAAAAGATACTGTGTCTACAAGCAAAAAAGCACTTATGTCCTCGGATAAAAAAAATACATCTTCAATCAAGAATAAAAGAACTTATAATGATCAGAACAAAATTAGCGAGAGTCATAAATTTGAAAACTTTGATCATAATGACTCTGTCAATTTTAATAAAGTACTTACGAGCAGTAATACCGAAGACTCTCGAATGCAATACTCAAATTCTCGGTCATTGGGCTCTCAATCTCGATCTCGATCAAGATATTCTTTGTTAAGACATTCTCATTCTCGTTCACGATATTCTCCTTTACAAAGTTCTCATCCTCATTCACTATATTCTCCTTTACAACATTCTCATTCTCATTCACGATATTCTTCTTTACAACGTTCTTATTCACTTCAACATTCCTATTTATGATCACAACACTCTCCTTTACAACATTCTTATTTACAACGTTCTCATTTACCAAGTTCTCATTCATGAGCACAAGTTCAGTCTAATAGCCGCAAAACGCTCTTATTCGAATCAGATTATGAAGTAGCAGCATATGTTGCTGAATGACTGGAACTTTTAAAAATTGTAAATCAAATGGCTTATTATGATGGTCTTAAAATGTTAGACAATGAAGAAAAAACTATGGTACTTACTCAACAAGTAAAATGTCTTTTTTGTATAATTATTATAAGACAGAATAAAACCTGAGTTGATTTTTGTGAATATGAAAAGAGTAAAATTCATGTTTTTTTAAGCTACTTTTTTAATGCAGGTCTACAATTAATTAGGGTTAGGTGGTAGTATGCATCAATGATATAACAGGTTTCATGCTGTTGTGCTGTCATATTATTATTATCGTTAATTTTTTCATAATATTTGTAATCTTTAGGAATCAATAAAATTCCAAACATTTTTAAAATGCATGTTCTTTAGGACATGACATCTTACAAAAGAAATAATTTTTAAATGTATTAAATTATGCTTCTTGTTCAAAAAATTATCTCATAAAGACATATTTATTTTAAAAAGTGCTGCAAATGCTGCATATCGATTCTACAGAGAAGCACTTCGAAGCAGCCTCAGAAAAATTGCTGTGCATTTTATTGATGATTTTAAGTAAGTAAAAATATTTTTACCTTATAGCACTCTATAAAGTATCTCTATAGTACCACATGCCCTTATTTTCTACCATGATACAAACCAAAAAGAAATTTTTTGTATGTAGATCGCAATATGAAATTCGTTAGTATTTTTTTGTTATTTTTTAAAAAATCACCAATATCTTAAAATTTTGTCTAAAAAACTGCCTCTTGCATTCTAACCAAAAAAAATTCCTTGCAAGCTTTTAGTATAATATTTATTCTTTCTAACTCTAAAGTTAAAGCAATTTACAGTAAATAGAATTTTTACCATTTCATATGATTTGTATCATGGTAGAAAATAAGTAAATCTGAATAGCACATGAGTATTATATTGGTTTTAGATATTATATTATATACTATTACTGTATTAAAATAGTATTTCTACCTATATACCATTATACACAGTACCCTATAAGTTTTCTGATATATATCCAAGATACTTTATAAAGCACTATACAATAGTTTACTATAAAGCTATTATAATTGACTAAAAAAAATTTTTAATTTACAGAATTACATGTTCCTCCCAAATTGAATAATCTGATATTCAAGATTATCTTCAGGAAGAGGTATGGAGATCATTTTTTAACTAGTTTTATGAGGCAATTGATGAAGAAGCGACATTTATAACAGAATTTAAGGAGACATGGCAAACATTTATGTTAGACTGTTTTTTGAAAATGTTTGAAGAAACATTAGATGAAGAAAAAAAGCTTGTTAGAATCACAAACTTGGATTGTCTTATTTTGAACTATGATATATACGATACAGAAGGCATATTGAACCTTAATGATGCTGATTTTAAGGTGCTTTTAAAGAAAGAATTGGATAATAAAGGAAAAGAGAATAGGAATCAGGCATAATGTTTAAAGCTAAGCATTTATTTAAATTTTACACATGCTATAATTAAAATCAAAAAAAATTCTGCTATGTATTGCAAATTCATATGAAACTAAGCAAATGCTTGATTCTATTAATTAGCCTTTGAATTTTTAGTTAATATTTAATAGTTAGTAATAATTAACAATTCGATTATTATTTTTTCAATGTTATTCAAAAGTGTATAGAAGGCAATTCACTAAAAGCAATGGCAATTCACTTTCAATAAAGCTTAGATTTCAATATCTTAATAAGATGTATATAAGAATTGATTCTCAAATTTTCTTATATTTATTGTGTTTTGTTAATAAGATTTGTCTTATATATCTATCATCATGCTCTAAATTCTGTTCTAATCACTTTACTTTCATTATTATTAACTTTGAATTACTCAGTCACTTGGTCCCTTATTATCATTGACTTATAATCAAAGTAACTAATTTAAATTGATTATGATTAATACATTTAAGTGATTAACCTTAATTAATTATTTCATCTCATATGCACAAGTCACTCTACTGATTGATGTCAAGTGACCAATTCTCAATAAATATAAAGTTAGGTTCACTATTGGATCTAAATTTGTTGTTAACTTAAGGTGGCTATAGAAAAAACATCATATTTAGTCACATGAACATATTTAAGTAATAATACAAGCTCTTTCTTTGAATTTGAATATTTTTCTTGCAGTACATAATTATTTTATACTATGCACATACATTTGTTATTTGATCAACATAAAAAATTTCACTATCTGGTCAAAATCTGGCATAATATAAGTCAACAAAATACACCCAAATTCTAACCCTAAAGCTGGTAGTGAAACTTCTTTGAATGATGTCAGGGTCTTATAATGTATTTAATCATACGTCTTAGCCAAATTGAAAATTTTTTCAATATATGATCATAATTATGCAGGGATTGTTATTATTATAGACATTTACTTATATTCATACAGGTTACAAATTAACTATTACCTTTATTAATAAAGTTAATTTATGTTATTGATCGATATATAAATAAATAGATAAAGTGATAACAATTCACTCTTCTTTGTATGAGTAATGACAACAAAAAAAAAAATAATAAAATTGGTTTAGAGTTCAATTGTTCAATCTTAAGTACATTATGTAACTAGTTGCATTAATATTATAATGACCTGTACTCGAACTTTGAAACAAAAAATTGTTATTCATCCAGGCAGAGTAAGAAGGCCTCACCTAAAAATTCAACAACGATATTACAATAAAGCTAAACTTTTGAATAACTCTCAAGACCCTGCACTTAGTAGTAACCTTAAGAATAGTAGTGTTTTAATTAATAATAACTTTGAATATAGTACTGAAAATGACAGCTTTGATGATGACGTTGGAAATAGTAGCGATGACTTTGAAAATAGTAGCAATGACTTTGGAAATAGTAGCAATGACTTGGAAGATGTTTTAATTAATAACTTCGAACTTGAGAACAGTGATAATAGTAACAATAATCTTGAAGATAGTGATAATGACATTTTAATTGATGATAACCCACCTAATCAAAAAACAGTAGATGGGCCTGCATCTTTTGAACTATTTAATGGTGAATATGGTCCATATTTTGCCAATTTTACTGAACAGAAGTTATTCCTATAGGTTACTATGCATATGATATATAAGTAGTTTATTACAATAACATACATACAATACATTGTATATAAAATTAATATCTATTTTAAAGTAATCAGGTATTTGAGTATTCACAGTATTCGTGGTATTCACTAAAAAAACTTTTATTTGCCATTTCAACCATTTCGTAATCTTTATCTTTTTTTTATTTTTATCTCTATATCATTTTAAGCCATGAAGGAATATGAAGATTTAATGATGATTATCAAACATCCAAGGTTCTGACCTTACCATGCACCTGAAAATGTAGGATGCCTTAGATCTTTATGAACAAGAATGCCTCTATTAAATGTAAAAAGTCACATTATTTTCATTGATAATAGAAAGACACCTTCTACATCAAAACAAGTCAAACCTGCCTATACAATCTCGATAAAAGAACATTTTAAGCATGTGTTGAATAACCCACAGCTAATGGCAAAGATGTATTTTGGCTGTGGTATTGAAACTCAAGAAAAATCTGAATTATGGTACAGTGATATCTGGCAACGATCTTTCTTGTATAGTGATTCAGCTATTGTTATTAATAAAAGTAAATTATTCTCTATAGTTATTCTAGTTAGTATTGGCTATTTTGGGTTATATTTAACTTTATATGAGCAAAGTAGTTATAATGTAATAGTAATCTTGTAAGTCAT